GGTTGTTGCAACATTAGATAGGTATACCCAACAGCGTCGTACACAACATTAGTAAAACTACATCTGTATCCAATACACCATGAGACAAGAGGTTGCTGCAACATTAGATAGGTATACAATAGCGTCGTACACAAYATTAGTAAAACTACATCTCTAGTACATGTAACATAGAATGTTTCGATGTTAAGTTATATTTCAGGACGTATTCTGAAAAGGTTAAATCGTAAGGCGMCTCCATTTTGAAATTCCTCATGGAACTTTTGTCGATGCATCAAAATGCTTCTGATTGGTTAATAGTAACCGGAAGTGCGTGCGCGAGATCACCTGGTTACGACAYTACAACATTACATCATTGTCATTCAAACTTGAGACTGTAATATCCTAAGGATCCTACTAACCTCTTTCAATCTGATAAACATAGTTGCTCCATGTTGCCCCTATCTTCTCCTCACAGTTATCTGCAGGGCCGTGCATATCGTATCGTAGATACCCATCCTTTCCTCCCCAACACTCTCCGCCATACTGAGTACCAAAATACACGAACCCGTTAGCAACCGCGGCCTTGGCACATCCYATAATGATCTCCGATGGCGTGTGTCCTCTCATACTCTTGTAGAATACTGGAAATGCTCGATCCCACTGCTGATCTTTGTAGCATCCTATTGATTTAACCTGAGGTGCATCTCCTGTGGAAAAAAAAGGGGGGAAGGGTTAAAAAAATCTTACCAGTAAAATGGGGTGGGGGGGGAAGTTGAAAATTTTTTCAGATAATCTGGGGGGACGGAAACATTTTTTAGAAGAAGCTACGAGAGATTGCCCGGGGGGATAGTTGTCTTTTTGGGGGGCTTCAAGGGGGGCCCTAAGAATTATTAGGCCCTAAGGTTCCAATGTAAATGCCAATTATCATAAGAGCAGAGTGCTGTGTGCACGAATWAGAAAGGTGTTAAAGGAATATTTAGTATTTTTCAATATATATGATTTTAAATAAAGGTTCAAACCCTAGGACGAGGTTTTGAATTAGAATTCAAGACAGGGCCGCAGGCCCGAGGTCTTGAATTCTAATGCAAAACCGAGCCCGTGCGTTCGAACTGGTTTAAAATATCAACTAAGCCCTAAATTCCATTGTTTCGATGCAAAACACGAAATACTAAATTATAATGAATTCAGAGAGATAGATTACTGTTGCTTTGTTCTTTTGGAAATAGAGTACAATATATCCGCGTTTGCACTCTATTGTTCCGATAGAAATAAAAATAGTACTGTTTTCATACCTTGCGTTCTCTCGGGCAAGTATAAGGAAAAGTAATTAAAAACCTATCCCGGGTTTATAATTCAGCCCCGCTCTACCCTGTTGATATCAATTCCGCCGCCGGCTTTGAGAATCTGGGTTTTCCGCCGAATTTAAGAACCTACATCAAACAATGGATTTAGGGTGTGGTTGATTTTTAATTATTGTTTGTATTTTTCTTTTTCTTTTCCATCTTAGTCTGTTTTGGTTTTTCTTCTAAAAAGATTATGTTGAATGGTTCCGGTCCGGRTACCGCGAAGACAGGTGGTACGTGAAAACAAACTCTCCTTAACAAGTAATTATTGCAATTATCCATTTCCGCTACCTAGTGTAAAGGCAATTCTTCCGCTAATGGATGGCTATTGCCCGTATTTTAGAGGAGAGGAGAGGAGAGGAGAGGAGAGGAGAAAAAAAGAAAAGAAACAAGAAGAGATTCGAACTCTTTAAATTGAAATCATACACAATATTATATTTCCCAAAAGAATATCTAGGTGTCAATGTAAATAGTTTGCAATAGTCTAATAGTCAATGTAAATTTCCAATGAGTTGTTGGTCATAGCCAAGTTACCATGGCAACACCGCTAATATCTAAGACTTACCAATATCAAGTTGCCTCTCTTCTAGTTTTAGTRGATTAATGTCTTCTTCCTAAACCAGCCGTAAAATGTATAATAAATGAAAAATTAATTATATCCTTCAGTAATAGCTCCAACAATCGAATACATATGGATATCGAAATAAATGTCGTCGGGCAGCGTTTGAATAATATTCTCAACACTTTTACAATCAGTCCTTTTTAATAACAGAAGTATATAGTTTCGTGCTTTCCTTTTGCCGGACTTATCGCTTCAAGAAATGTGTTAATACCGCGTTTAGGCATATAGTTAATAATGATTGTTAAGTAAACATTATAGGCACGTTATTTGAAACTAGTTTTGTTTCTCTTCTCTTCTCTTCTCTTCTCTTCTCTTCTCTTCTCTTCTCTTCTCTTCTCCTTCCTCCTCCTCTACACTCTTTTTCTTCTAATGTGCTCTTGTTTTCTCCAATCTCCTCTCCTCTGTACGTTTCCATAGCTTGGCGCCCCAAGTAATTTCAATTTAATGAATTATATCATAGAAAATTAGTATTAGCCGATTTACCTTTTAAATTTAAAGTACAATCTAAAAAAATTAAGGCTGAATACAATCTTCCCTGCCAGGGTTAACAAATTCACCGATTACCCATTGATCCCTTTATGTATACAACATAGAACTTTATTTGAAGCCGATCAGGTAAGATACGCAAAATGAAAAGTCTAAGAAAGCCGCTTATCTTATACTCGTAAAAACCCATGCCAATAAAAACAAATGGAATTTGTTCAAGAGAGAAGTGATAAGACTCTTCTGGATAACACAGGTGATAGCGTACTTCTACCTGTGTTTCTGATATCTATAACTTTTATCCTAAGTAGTTTAGCCTGACATGAAACACATAGTTGCTAATTTCTATAATGATTGTGAATCTGGTAACTARTAGGGCTACTGGTTTACTTAACCGGTGGTTTTGATATAGTTAAGAAAACGATGGAGAAATCAAGAGTTAAGAAGCTTACCTTTAAGATGTTTTTACTGATGACCAAATCAATGCAGCAAATGAAAACGATGAAATACAAAAAAGCCATGACTCTTTGAGTCTTTCAAGTTCAAAGTACTCTAACGGCTGTTCACCACAGATTACTGTCCTCTTAGCCTCTTTTTTGGTCTTTAAATGTCTTTTTTATCGGCAGCTGAACAATAGAGACCCTATCAGAACCAGATAACTAAAGAGGAATAAAGAAGACATTAGAATGTCGTTTCCTATCTCGGTAACGTCATTCACAACAGTCGCCGGATCTAGTTGGAGGAAATGTTGATATAATGGATAATTGGAAAATGATTTTGATGCTTATGCCCTGTCGGCGATCWAGGAAGCAACTAGAAAAATACGCGCTGAAAAAGAAATTGCTTTGTAGGTCGTACTTGGTGATAAAAAATATAACTAATTGGGATAAAAATTAGACATGATAAGACCAAACTGTCATTATAATCGTCTATAACAAAAAAAAAAACACTTAGTCTTAAGACAAACCTTCCTAAAATTGTTTTTTGTTATTCAGAGAAATGTTTTCAATTTTTTTAGGGTGTCATTTGACGTCATAGCCGCCAACTTAGACGAGAAYTTTTGTCTTGTCAACCAAAATGGTGGCTATTTCTTTTGTCTGCATTTATGTATTCCCATGGAATGCGTAGATTAAAGTCMTCTATTATCAATTAGAGACAATAATTATATTATGCGTCTTTCAAGAACGTCTCTAAATCTCTTTTGGTCTCAAAAGGTCTTGAAATTGCCAGAGTCATCAAGTCTTTGAGTTTGGGGGCAGTTACGATACTAACGGTTCCTGGTTCCGCTTTCARATCCGCCTATCCTCTGCCATCCTCAGATGACCGGAAAATATATTTTATTCATGGAGGATGGTCAAAATAAAACTAATTGCAAGATATGACAAAAGAGTTACTGYGGTTTTCCATTATTCTGCGAACTCAGAAATTCCAACGGCTTGTTGTGAAATTTGTTTTTTACTGCCGCCAGTCAAGAATATAATAGGAACCGAGTGATTAGTTTTGATGGACAGCAGCGAAAAACCAAATGTCGGTGTGCAGCTCGCAACTACCAAGTGTTTGCAGAATATGGAAGACTGCAGGAAAATCATAAGGCCGTGAACTCAAGTTACAGAAAATTTTTATCGACAGAACCAGTGATTTAGCTGCTACCGTTGTATACCGTTGTATACAGTCCTTTGACTAAACGTTGTCGTTTGATCGGCTTCATCCCTACGCGCCTAGACCGAAAAGTATCATGGGGATAATWAATTCACAGTTACTAGCTGYCGCATRTGTTATCTAACACGTCTTGAGCTCGCTTTTTTCGATCCCATTTCATTTCCTAAAACCATGTCTCGAGCGTACAGSGAAGATTTAAACTGGCGAGCAGTTTGGATGACGCAAGTTCTGGGTRATTTMCCCGTTATCCTTTTCGGTCTAGGCGMGTAGGGATGATCAATCAACGACAACGTTTAGTCAAATGACTGTAGACTTTGTTAGCTTGGGTAAAATGCTTTCCCATTCCAGTCCACGTGTCTTYCCCTAGASTATTATTTCTTTGTTTAATTTACGGTTGTACATAAGAAAATACGTGCGGAATCTTATTCTCAACYGACTCAAGTGAATGAAACGTGGTCTAAAATGGGWAATATTACGATCCAACTTATAGTGTCTCCACCTATTTGATTAAAATAGATAAAACAGGAATTACTTCCCTTGTGACCCCGGAAAAGSGTTGTTTTGTTATAGGTTGTACAAGTAACTTGAATAACCGCCAATACTTTAGATAGCCGGTCAACGGTCTTCCACTTGAGAGTTTAAGAAGTAACAACATTTTGTCGGCGTTTCCATAGCTAGCAAACACTTAATATAAATTATTTTTTTAAACCTTCTAATATTTCCTTCGCAAATAAATCAATACAACATTGCTTAAACACTGAAAAAAAACAAAAAAAAAACGGTAAGACATAGAGTAAGCCCTGCTAACTTTGAAGATCCGGTTTTAAGTCTAATACATTTCAGCTAATGTTGTTATAATAGTGCAAAACTTACAGCTAGGTTATCGTTAGTGTCAAAAAAGTTTTCCGTTTCAGCTCGACACATGCAACGCTCCTCTAAGGTAAAAAGTACAGAAGGAAGTAATCTCATTGTTTCCTAGTGCTCCAATCCCTTAGTTACATTAACGTATTAATATAATCATGATTTTTGATCGCCAGAAAATAAAGACGCTTGCGCATGCTTGCGTTTCAGCACGTTTTCCAAGAATTTAGGAAAATTTTAGTGAGAAAGAAAATCTTTAATTAAGTGTCTAGTCGTTCTTCCGCTTTCGCACTAATTGGGGACACTTTTCKCTCACACGCAATACCACTACATTTAATATTCTATGCACACAACGCTCAACTCACATGTTGATTCTTACGGAGGGAGGAAACCGGAGAACCCGGAGAAAACCCTCGTAGCATAGGAGAGAACAACACATCAAACAAACTCAATTCACATGTGGTGACCGCAGGGCTCGAACCAACGACCCGACCCGTTGGACTCAAAGCGGTGAAAGACGACGCGTTAGCCGCGAACGCCACCCATGCTATGTTGTTCCTCCGAATATACAAAAAATAAAAACAGATACTGTATTAACAACGACCATATAAAAGATTCGGATGGAAAATATTATTTATCGTTAAAAATAGTTTTAGTTATTCATTTGTCTCCCGATTTAAGGTCATTTGTAGAAGGACCGCGCGACGTATCGACTGCAAATTACTAGTCTTCATAAGGAAGTGGTGTAGACTGGATGGTATGAATGTTATCATATAAAATTATCTAAGTTTTAAGAGCTGACTTTAAGTTTTGGCATCTTGTAAAGTCCATTTGTTAGACATGTTGAATGTCACACTGGTATATTGTGTCGACATCACGAAGAGGCGTTTTTGACTAATTTTCATGCAGAGCGTGCGCAGACGTTTTTCGCTCGTTTCATAAACACAGGACGCCCAAGCAATGTACGTGTGCTTTGTTAGAAAGAATGCGTATATTGGTAGACCCGTAAAAAAGCTAAAACTCGTCGTATTGGCTCCAAATTGCGTACAGAGAACACGCATAAAAATACTTTATAGATAACATTCTTACGATACACACTTCCACATGCATGCCTTTGTAGCATTAAAGGTACGATAACATTGCTTGGGCTTCCTGTGGGTTATCAATTCAACTTATGGTTTGTAATCATTCTCAAGAGTGTCAAACGTCAAAGAAATCCTTCGTTTTACGAACACACTCAGTAATGTTTACCAAAAATAACAAAGTGATTCGCTTCAGCAAATACCGATATACCACTTCCTTTCTGGCCATCATTTTTGGCTTTTCTTTGTGTGTTATCTTGGTTGATATTTGGTTTCCTGTTACATTCATATTTTTTGACAGTTAAACTTGAGTAAAAGGAAAAGAATTTCTTTCCTTTTTTAGCAGAATTGCCGATGGGGAATTTATACTGATGACTTCCTTTCCGGCTTTTGTGAGAAATATAAATATAGTATCTATATCCTCTTTCCTTTCAACGTGTCGCACTTCCTTCCTTGTTTTATTACTACTCTTTTTGTTTGCTTCCTGTCTTACTTTTCATACTTCTTTATATCCTTTTTTYCCCCGGAATTTTCGGAATTTTCCTTTATTTTTTATTTCCGCGGTAAATCAGTCTCAGATAAGCATATGAGCGAATTCTCAGCTTTCTACAAAATTCCCTCGAAAGATTCCTGCTTCGCATGACCTTTCTACCTTTGAACAACGTTGAGATCGATGGCAAGACCGATTGCATTGCAATCCTCTCGTTTCACAACTAATTTTAAAGAAAGACTTCAAAAAYCATCACAAATTTATAAGACCCTCTTATGTTAGGTCAAAAGGATTTTCCAAACCTCCCTAAATGATTAATATTTTGTTAAAATACAACCAAGCGATACCGACTGGGGAAACAAGGAAGTAATACTCAAGGGGATCATACACGTRGTCTGAAATGGGAAAACTTTTTATATATGCCCGAAGCAAGAGGATTTATTCAAAGCATTGATGAATAAAACWCCAAAGAGAGAGGCTTAGTTTGTTTACGCGATGTTCCACTCAATCAAATCGATCAGCCACGATCTAGTGCACATAACAGCAGCATAACTTCATAACCAAATGATCCGGATAATCGATTGAAGTGTTAAGATGAATTTTCAAGTTATGTTAGAGTAGAGTTTCGAGTCGTAACTACAACATATGCAATATGAAATATTATATGGAAAACAAAAAAGCAAGATACATTCCAGGGTTGGAGGCAGGAATGGAAACTGACTTCAAGTAGTTTAATTTTCCCGGCTTTTTGAAGGGGAAAAAAAACATTAATTAGCGGTTTAAAATTATGAAGGAATATTAAATTTATATGTTTGAACTTGAAATGAAACTTATTTTTTTCGACCTCAATCTCTGAAAATCGTCCGCCTTCTTCTCATACTGATTACCCCATTGATCCGTTTTCTTTTCTCCGGATTTTCAGTCCATTTTATCTCCATCCGCAAAACCTAACAAGCTAAATTTCAATCCGCTGTGAGCCCTGACTCTAATCAGCTTGAAGGCGATTCAGAGTATCGCCATAACTTGAACTGTTCAAGGTTTGCTGACAACATCCACAATAACATTTTGCACAAATTTTATACACTAAACTTTGGTTATTGTCTTTGACAGTTTCTGAGTTGTCAAAAGTTGTTGTTCATTAATATTTGGTCCGTGAATTTTGAATGATCGAGGGATCTAGATATTGTGTTGATTAATGAAGCTTGTTATATCAAATGTCATAAACAGTCAAAAAGCTAGTAAAGCATCGCTAAGCAAAGAAAGTCCGATATAAATCCGTTCTATTCGGTTCTGGTTTTCGCTTCTGAACTCGTCCAACAGTATAGGTAATAGATTCTACATTCCTAGCAATTATCGAATCCCGAAACATTTAAACTATTTAAACCAAAAATAAAGTATAGTTAGCTTTTAAAATATTTTGATCATGTAAAAGTCTAAGTTACAATCTGTCTTCATAGAAGTTAAAAACCATACCGATCTAAATGTACCTTAATAAAAGAACAGGTTYCCACGCTATTTCATTGACCTTCCAAGAAGATTGAATCTGCCGTCAGTGCTTTGCCCAGCTTGCTATAATACCTAGCTAAATATTTATTTATCCAAGGAAGCGAAGAATTCCCTTGTTTTATTCAAAATCTCAGGCTCTACTACGCTTCAAGTGACCAGAATATACCATTCAAGCTGGGACATTGAAAATACATCTTTGTCAAAACACGACGAAGCGAAGCGAAATTTACAGTGAAATTTGATTCAGAATATGTCCCCAAAATTTTTAACTTAACATCGTTAAACTAAAATTAAGCGGTTTTTAAGGAACAAGAAAGAGATGCAAAGAGAGGCAAATGGTTAAACAAGGAACGATGATAGGATTTTTTTTGTAGATTTAAGAATTAATTGAGTAAAATTAGGTAAATAGAAAGGTATTAGACCAAGGCGAACAATAATAGGGCCAATGTAAATAAAAGTGAAGTGACCTTGATTCTAGGGACAAATCTTTTGAAACACCAAAATAAAAAACAAAATATAGACCCCTTGCGGCTCAATCTGGGGACAAAACAATAGGYTCCAATTCTCAGGAGACTGGAATTCTTTTGTTTTGTCACCCAGATCGAGCTGCTTTGACGTCACATGCAAGGGGCCTATAGCCCCAGGATTAGGATTAGAGTACCTTAATTGGAATCAGACTCCTAACAACAGCGTTCCGTGCCGTGTTTGTTGCTAGCACCTTGAAGCAAAGGACGGGGGGCGTATAACTATTAGCCATTCAGAGGTTGAGGAAAACACTGGGTCGAGTTGGCATTGCAATGCATTTCGGGGCTCTTTTAAACCGCCCAGCTCAGCCCCAAAATGCACTGCGAAACCAACTCGACGAGTTTTCCCCTCAATCTCGGAATGGCTAATAGGTTTCCATATCAGTCGATTCTTGATTGCTCGAGTGTGCTGAGGTTCTGCTATTCATTATTTTCACATACATTTGCATATCTCACTACCATAGTTTAATCAACTTTCTATGTTTTTGTATACTTTTCGTACATTTTTAATGATTTCTTAAAAAGGTATGCTTTCAAAATGTGTTATATAAAACACAAGAAAAATCCTCTCTTTTCAAGATTATCCTCACTGAGTTTGCGTGAAGTTGGCTTCGCGGCATGTTTCCAAAAAAGCGTCCCACATGGAAAGAAGTGCCGACTGGTATGTAGTTATCAGTGGCAAAATCGACATTTTTGGTTTGCTGATCATAGCAAAGGGTTAATTCATCTACGGTATAGGGGCTTAGGCTTCGGTCAAGCTTTCTGATCAGTCTGTAATTCCTCCCGGGATAGCGGTGGCGCTGCAATACGACGGTTCAGCATTCGATGTCTGGAAGTGTGGTCTCCGGTTACTTCAGTTAACATGAATAAAAATAATCTCAAATGAAATATAAAAAAAGATTTGAAAAAATGCGATATAAAGGAGAAAAAATAGAAAGAAAAGAGAGAATAAAATAATGAAAAAAATATTTAAAAGAAGGGGTAAATATGAAAGAAGGAAAGGGAGTTGAAGCATAGAAAAAAAATGATACACAGATTGAAAAAAGGATCGAAAGGAAAGAATGACAGAAACTATTTATTTTCTAGTATTTATTCAACGTAGCTAGTAGTGACTATTGTGAACATTTCATATAGTTTTCTAAGAATAATTAGGTTTTGCTTGTATTTGAACCACAAGTATCTCAATATTTACTTATTAACCAAACAGACAATGAGACATTAGGCGATCAGTGATCTACCATCTGGATGGACCTGGTAATACAAAATACAATATATGATATACCTAACGTTGTCGGGTTATAAAAAAGGGTATAAAATAACTGCTCTAAATCTCGCAATCTGATTGGTTAGGAGCGCGTGCTTTATGAGAGCACACAGCATGCGCACGCACTTTCAGTTTCGTCATTCACGTAATTTGTATTTTATAAAAGAAATAAAAAACTTGCTTGCTGTGCTGTGTGCAGTTATAAAGCACTTGGGGATTGACAGAACACTCGAGAAGTGTCGAGAARCACTCCGCTACGCGTCGTGCTTCTCCTAACACTTCTCTCGTGTTMTGCCAATCCCCGCGTGCTTTATGACTGCACACAGCACGCGCGCGCGTTTTATATTTCTTCATTATATCATCAAAGCTAAGACCGAAGGGGAGTATGGGAAGACAAACAATTATGCTAATTTCATGCGTATTGCAGTTTTCCCTTCCTGTGCACACTTTATGCATCATGGCTTTGGTATGTTGTTAATCTAGGTCGACAGACTTTGCTCTACTGTGTATTTTTACATGTCTATATGCGAATATAATACACATTTCGGAGTACCCAAAATCCTTTTCGGTCTTAGCTTCGATGATATGACCTTCTCGAACCCGACTACGGGTTTTTTTATTTTATTTTATTTTTTTATTGTAAAAATAAAACAACTTCACTCATAGCTTTACGCGGATTTTTCAAAACTCAAGTGGAACCACGAGCGCATTTTTTTTCAATGTTAAAAGACGTTTTCTATGATAATAACAGGACACACAGTCAATGAAAATCTATGAGCGATTTGTTAAAAAGCATATGTTGAAAGAGACTTTGTAAACTGACTTAGTTTTGAATGGGCGTACGAATAACATATACGCACCTGGATTCAGGTTTGGATTCAGTTCAGGGTGTGGCACTTCCATGATCAGTTATATACTTATCTAGCTCTTTCCAATTTTTGAATTTTCTTGGAGGTGGACGTTTGGTTGGCATAACCTCTGAAAACGAATTGGGAGATTAAGTTAAACAAGCATCTGATAAGGACAGACAGACAGACAGACAGACAGACAGACAGATCAAAGAATAGAAAGCATACTTTTAAATACTTTTTCCAAGTTCTACAGTGCCATTCTCAAAATAAGTTTGCAAATTTTAGGACCGAATGCAACAAAAATAGAGACAGACTAACAATTGGAATTCTGAATCTTCGTTAATTAAAATGTTAACATTTTTACCCACTTGTGCAAACAGGACAGCAAAATCCCGTCATGTTTACGCCGTCAAACCCTTTAGGACAGGATTTCTCCTTGCATTTTTGTTCTTTACATTTGGCAATGGAGTTCTTCTTACATTCACACTCGTAGCATGTTTCTCCCTTTTTGAAGGTCCAGTTCTGGAACCTCTGATACGTGTTTCCTTCTGTGTCTTGGCATACTGCAACACAAACATTACTAGCTTAGTCCACTCAACTATTGTAGGTTTTCAATTATCCCGAAGGGAGTGAAATAACAAAATACACGGCGGCCATGTTGGTTGATACAACAAAAGAATTCATTGAAAATTATTTTGATAAATTCAACCAAGATGACGGCTCTTTTTTTTTTTTTTTTT